CGTTGCACAACACGAAAAGTCTGATTGGTTGAAAATAAAATGACACAGAAGTCGGATACTTGGGAATAAGTCCGATTCACGTGAGACTTCTGTGTCATTGGCGTATCTCGGCTCCGTCGAACATTCGTGTGCTTCCGCATAGGGAAGCCACTTGTCGACGAGTGCGAAGGGGATGGGTCCGCCATAGAAAGCCGTGTAGGCCCTCGAAGTCGGTGATATTCGCGAAGAGGCCATCTCTTCTGTAATGATGTCGGTGGCGTGTTGCCGCGGTAAGCATATCATTACAAGAGAAACGAAGAAGGAAAGCATATCACCGAGCTGTTTATACGACGCTATTTACATGTCTCCGTACATGAGACATGACGCCTCTGAGTAGGACTTTGTCTGTCCCTCTGACATGATGCGTTTCTATTCCACCCCCCGGTCGTCGCTTGTAATTCGTAGAAATGTCCTATTTTTCACACTAATTGACACTTCTCATATTTACCGGGGTAGGGGGTTGGGGTTGGGCGGGGTTCGACGTGTTGCATTCCTGTCAAGGTGCAGGGCGTCGGAAAATATTTCCAGGTGCGGAAGCCTCCACGCGGATTGACGCGTGATCAATGGTCACCCCTGCCATGGTGTAATCCGTCATCACCCGACCTGGAAGCGGCACAGTACACCATGCACATCTCCTATTCATGTACAGACGGCGCCGCGATTGGGTACGCACTCGGGGAAGGCAAGCGACACCAATTGACGTCACCCTTCGCAGCGGCGCGAAGCCGCACAGGCCAACGCCGGCTTGCCTTCTCCGTCCATGCAGTCGCACATGTCGTACAGCTCATTCATCACGCGTCGTGAGAAAGTCAATGTGCTGATATTGGAGCGCTACGGCTTCTTTGATTATTTCGTGTATAATGTCCTCACAAAAATATCACAAGAAAAAGAAGAAAAAGAAGAAAAAAAGGAAAAAAACTCCACATCCACCGGTAAAACAGTTTCGCAAATTTAACGTGGAGAAATCCTCCTCACACAAATATCACTCCAGAAATTACCCCGACGCATGGCGCTTTCGCATAAATGCGCGTGCGAAATTTATCTCGAAGGAAAGGAAATGACTGAGATCTCGTATCACGCGCGTGCGGAGCGGGAAATCCGGTCCATGGGGCCTCAGCCGTGGCCAATAGTCAATCAGTCAACAACTAATCGTCCTCTGTGGGCACAATTCTCCTGACTTCCTCTTCTTCCCCGCCCTTGTGCGCATGGCCACACACTCACCATTTTCCATCTCCGACATGACCTGTTCTTGCTGCACCTCCTCCCGTGGGCTGTGGTGATGATCAAGCACCTTCACCCTAATGTAACAGTGATTACGTGGCACTTCAAACGTCAGGTGCAGAGGGCCTCTCTCCACCGCACTCTGCTCCTGACGTAGATCTGACGCAGTCTGTCGACAAAAAGCAATCTCTGGGACCTCATCTGCTCCCACTATTCTGCAAGCTCTCTTAG